CTGGCAATTTAACGAATTGTTATAGTTATGGTCTTTTCATTTATTTAACATTGTATAGTTGTACTTTTATTTATGATTTACCTTTGTAACATTGAAAATAACCCGATCGGATTCGAAACGTTTATTAACTTTATGATTCTAATTTAATTAAATTTGTTTGTTTAAATATTGGTTCTATGGTCTTTTTAATTGTCATATTGTTTTATACGTACGGAACCTTATAATTACTTATTATAGAATTGAAATTTCAAAAAAGTAATCTGATTATTGAGAAAGGTTGTAGGGAGTTTTTGGTATCGCCGAGTTCGGAAATGTCGAATTTTGGAGGAGTAAATTCTAATAACTTCCAATGAAAAAAAAGTATCTATTGTCACAGAACTCATAACCAGAATCAATTTGGAAATTAGTACTACCGTTTACATAATACTGATGGGCGAAAAATGAAGCAAAACTAAAAACTTGATACTATCTGGCAATTAAAAATTTTCTAAAATTGAATTTTAATCAGATTGTCTTTATAATTTTGTTTGCCATATTGAATTCACATTTTTTTTTATTTTTGACCTCAAATTCGAATAAAGCATCATCAAATTGCCTCATAGATCAAGTTTCATAAAAATCAAATTAGTAATTTGCATAATAAGGTGTGATCTCAAATCGTCCGTCCACAAAGGGTTAATAGTATTCACGTACTTTTGTAAAAGTTAATAACGGAAGAAAACACATTACATCTTTCTCCTATGTATTTATAAACTGTGCTATATTTATTTTCTTTATTTCATCTTTTGAAATAAAGTGAGTCCAAACACTTTACGGGCATCTTTCACGACGTATCCCGTCACGTAATGCTCGGCAGGGAAAATCGATAGGTCGCACATTAGATATGTGTAGCATAGCGATCATTAAGCGTACATGTTAAAGAGCGAAGCAATTATTTCCAAGTCTATAGACAAATTAATGTGCTACATTCGAGTGCAACTATTATCGTATAATAAATGGTTACGTACGTCTTGACTCAGACGCAACTTGCTCCCTTCTTTAATTTGATGTCCCTTCTCCGAAGTATAGATTGTACAAAAAAAAATAGGTAAGTTTGTGTTCCAATTAGTGCAGAATATAATACGAGACATACGCTTTGATTTTTAATAGAGCACGATGATCAAATTAAATCTTTTACGTAATCGAAGAAAAATAAATTTCGTTATTACGTAACAAGATTAAAAATTTTTTTGAGTGATTTTGTATCTCAAATATATATATTCTATTATAATCCAACTTTCTTGCTCGTTTTGGTCGTTTTCTATTGTTGCTTTGTAAAACTTTTTTAATCGCAAAACTCAACTGCGATTGTCGGATTCAGCCAAACATCAAGTAAATATTGAAGATCTGCGAGATTTCAATATGCTGAAAATCGAAGTTCAAAGATCCAACCTTGATGTCTTAGCGACGACACGTTTCATCATCCATCATATATCACGTCCCGAGCGCACTATTAAACCTCGCCACACGCGAACACGCGTTTAGCGGTCTCTCGCGAGGTGCAAGTGCAAGTTGTAATTAGCATCAAATTAGGTATTTAAGGATTTCACGTTCGGGTCAGAAGCGGATAAACCGAAAGGAAGACACGACGACGACGTCGAGGAAGAGGAAGACGACGAAAGAGAAGAAGTAGAAAGAAGTAGAAGAAAGGAAGAAGTGCGACGGGGGAGACGAGGGTTCTACTTAGGGGTTATACCAACATAGCG